TTCCGAGTTTGCTTGGGCATCTGACATATACTGTACCTAATAATCTTTCCTTCCAAAGTTTCTACCTGTGATGTTATAATGTATGTTATATTAAGAACTCCAAAATTGTGCATACATTTTTTATACCTCATTTGTGTTTAGATTGACAATCCTATTAAAGAGAACTATTAAAGATTTCTGTTTTAGGCCGGTCATAGATCAGGCATCACTAAATGGCAGACCGTGGTCCAGATCCGGACCCAGTAACAGTCCTATTCAGACCACAGCCTCGCTAAATAGGTGAGTGTCCTCTTGCCCGCTATCATCCTCAAGGAAGGGCATACCATGGGAGGAGTGGCAGGTCTGTCCCTTTCACAGCATCGCAGCTCTCCCCCGTGCCCACACTGTCCTACCTTATTCATACAAAATGGGAAGCACTGCAGGTCTGGAAAAAAGAACAGGTGAATGACTGCTTGGACCACCCCACTGCATAGCAACCAATCACCTGCTTCTTAACTTGAAAAGTCCTGCCCTTTGTCCAGATCTGATGTTCTTCCGCTCTTGTGTGAATAAGGTAGGACAGTGTAGGAAGGGGTGAGTGCTGTGAAGTTATGAAAGGGACAGGAGTCTGTAATGGTGGGAGAACTGTAATGGCGGTCTTTGATAAGGGATCTGTGATGAGGGGGGTGTGATGTTTACGGCATCAGACCCCTGACCTCCTCACCAAACTCGTGACCGAAGGACTAGCCAATCTAAAACCGCAATGTCACGTGCGTAACAATGCCACACCCAGCTGCACCCTGCACAATGATTTTTCAGCTAATGGACCACAAATCGATGTACCGGCAGCCTGGGTGCGATTGTTACTGGGTCAGGTTAATTACGCAATTAACCCTTCACACTGCCACATCCTTTTTGTACAGAGAAGGAGGACACAGCGGGCACCGGATCGCGGTGCTGCACGCTCCCAGGGGGGCGCGCACAAGCAGGGTGCGGGGGAGGCCGTTTATAAACGGCCACCAGACCCTGCACTGCCACCGTCCAGCCGTTTATATACATGGACTGGATGGGAAGTGGTTAAGGGCTCATTAGCCCACTTTTATTAAGGAAAAACAAAGGAAAGAGGAAAGAGGAAACTCGGCAATATCAGCAATAACACTATGATGGCTGAGTTAATCATCTGTATAGCACTGTCACTGCAGACAGGTTATACAGAGGGTTAAACACACACAGTTGCGCTCTTTTAGAGGCAGGAATTCGTAAGTTGCAATAAAGAGCTGTAGAAACAGTTCAACACTTTCAGAAAGTAGGATTTATTACTAAAAGGTCAAAAGGGTGCAATAAAAATATTTACAGAAAAAAGATGTAACCAATATATATATAAATATACAGAGAACAATAGCACAGCAAAGAGGTAACAGAAAGGAGGTTAAAGGGTTAAACTACTTGCCATTCAGCCTTGGGTTAAGCAGATCACGTTTCAGAGCAAAAGGGCACCATCTCCCAAGTTGGTTCTGATGTTAAACGGGAGAATTCTTCAACTCCCACTCTTAGGCCTGACAGCCTATTTTGTAGTCCCCCAGCAGGGGGTGTCTCTGAAGCCAAGGACCAATGCCTCATTTGGGGAGGGGTGTCTGGGCGGAGACCCAAACTAGAACCAAAATCTCTCATAGCTCATATTTTGGCTCATAACTTTTCCTAGGCACAAGTACCATTCCACCCGCAGGCAGATTAATATGCAGACGCATGTGAGGAACGGTTAGATATGAAATACATACTTTAAGGGTTTAAGAGATGTAATTTTCTGCTTTCCTATGTATTCCAGCCAGGGAGTGTGACCTATCAAACAATTTGTCTGATTGTGAGCAATCTGAAGATATGCCTGGTTTTTATGTAAGTCTCTCATATTCCAAGATATGAGACATAGGGGAAAAATGGATTTTAAAAGTGTTATCTAGTTTCTTACTCCTCTGGAATGTCTTTGAACTCAGGTGAAGGCTTGGGTTATTCTTTTACGAGGTGCCAGATTGCTCAGCTTCTCAGATCGCCCGGCACCCTGCTCAGAGATGTTTTATAGCTCGCCCTGGCATGCCTGTGACACTTCCAACACACACACACCGACCAAATGTCACTATGGCTCTCAGAGAGGGAGGGGGATGATCCAAGAGGGGGAGAAGGATCTACAAGATGGGTTTGGAGCAAAATGGTTGAACCGCGTCCATCACTGTGGGCATGATTGCTACGGGGGGGGTCTATGATGAGAGGTCTGTGATAAGGGGTCATCTGTGTCTGTGATGGGTGGGTGCAAGGGAGGCTGTGATATGAACAAGCCATTGTGTTCTCCCAGTGAGAAGGGCAGGGGAACATGTGTACACCAGTAGAAGACAGTGATTATTTCTAGCAGCTATAACAGCTGCTAGCGATTATTGCATCTAAAATCCAGCAGGCTGGTTGTACCCGATCGATCAACTTGGGTACATTCAGCCTGACCATACATGGCTGAGATTCAAACCGTCTATGCCCAGCTTTAGATGTACATGTGTAGGGAGCTGTAGTAGTATCATGAGTGTCCCCGATAATCAACAATACGGTTTTAATGGTGCATCATCAGTCAGCCAATGCTTAAAAACGTAGGGGTTGATTTACTGAAAGCAAACAGACTATGCACTTTGCAAGTGCGGTTGCTCCAGAGCTTAGTAAGTGAGGTAAAGCTTCACTTTACAAAGAATACCCAAGCACATGCAAGGAAAATAAAAATCCTGTATTTTTGCATGCACACGATTGAATGATGGAATTCGGCTGAGCTTCCCCTCATTTACTAAGCTCTGAAGCAACTGCACTTGCAAGGTGCCCAGTCTATTTTCCTTTAGTAAATCAACCCCTTAGGGTACTTTCACACCATACTGCACATACAAATGCAATGAAAATGCATGTGCAACAATCCACATGTGCATGCATTTTTATACATTCTGCATTAGATTTATGGTTCAATAGCTTTTATTGAGTAAATAAACAATATTACAAAGATATTCACATTTTTTTTGGATGCGTTACAAGAAAGATCGAATAGAGTGGATTAAGGCATGGATGAGATATCCAACATGTTAGGTAAGTTGTGGTTACATATCAGTAGTATAAAATATATTGAGCATACTATCAAAGGAAAAAAGAAAAAATGGGCGGAGTAGTAAAGCCAGACGAGGTACGAAAATTTGGCCGGGTCAGCAGGAACCTGACAAATTTCAGTCCATCTATGGGCAAGCTGGTTGTACTGAAGTTTATCTAAAGATTGACTTCTGTACAACTAACCTGTCTGTTTTTTATTTTCTTGCGATCTCTGCTGGTGGCAGAAGTGAACATTGTATTCTGCCTGTGGGAAACTTCCTGCTGGCAGAACACAAAAGTGCTGCAGTAGGGATTACCCCATCAACACTGACTGTGTAGATAGGAAATCGAGCAATGTTCTTTCCTTGAACTTGTGGTTGAAGGAAAGAAAATTGCATACTGTATAAGCTAGCCTTAGGGATGCAAAAGTAAAAAAAAAAAATATATACTGCTATTGCTTTGCATTTATGTGTGTTAATGTTTGTTGTGATGTGAATGAGGCACATAGAAAACATTTTCTATGTAACCTTTTTATCCAGTGCAGAAAAATGCTGGTCACTCGCCACATTGTGAACATGCCCTTACAACTGCTAGAACAGTAGTTTTGGCACTCCTCTAAGAACCTAGAAATTCCAATCAGAAGTCACCCGAGCAGTTCTTCTGTACAAAGGGTTAGAAAAAACAAAAAGCACAATAGTCAGAAAAGCTCAGTTTGCATAATTTAGGTATTGTGTGTAATCTGGGCTGTGTCTTTACTTTGTCACATATGCAAGAATAGCAAAACATCAGCATATCTCAGAACACTGCTCTGTTATTCTCATAAGAGAATTATGCCACATATCTGTGTAGTTCAGTCTGATAAGAACTAGTCTTCCACAAAGAACTATAGTCAAAGACAAGGAGCATACAAATCTGACTTCCATTACAGAAACACATTTCACTCTCTCCCACACTCTGTATACCAATCCACATTCTAACGGCTTGAAAAACTATGCCATTCATTGCAGGGGATTTACTAAAACTGGTGCACACAGAATCTGGCACAACTGTGCATGGTAACAAATCACTTCCAGGTTTTATTGTCAAAGCTTAATTGAACAATTTGAAGTTAGAAGCTGATTGGTTACTATGCACAACTGCACCAGATTCTGTGTGCATTAGATTTAGTAAATCACCCCCATTGCCTTAAAAGAAACCTCCTATAAGAGAAACATGAAGGATGTCATTGCTGACCTCTAATCCTGAAATGCTAGTTGTCCAGCAATCTTGCGCTATATATTTAGGTCAATGGCCTAGAATAAACATGTAGATAAGGGGTTCTGCTATTCCTCGGACTTTTCTTCTTGGTCTGCGACTCAGAGCATGTTGATGCTATTGTGTCAACATAACAGCCAGGCAACTAGCATTTCTCCAAAAATGGTCAGCATTGGCAGTGCTCTTCTTGTGTAGGTTTCCTCAACTCCTAGGACTTTAAATAAGCAAAAGGCAAACCGGCCTTCTACCACCATCACCAAGCAAAGGTAGTCATGCATCAATCAAATACTGTAGTCAGTTCGTATTACAAATGAATAAAACACCTGACATAAGAAACCAGGCACTTTTATTTGCTGAAACCGAAAAACATGAAGCTGGGCATTTCTAATCATTTGCCTTTTAACAGAAGCAACGTTTTGTAACAGAAATGTAATATGAGTTTTGCTCTAGTGCTTGTGTTATTCAGAACTATTCAATTTGAAATAAAGAACAGTATAAAATCCAAGCATAGAGATGTAAAAATGAGTGCAATGAAAATTATGGAATGATTAAAAAGTCAGTGCATATGTCATGTTACAGTAGAATGTATAAACTGGAAGTCTTCTGATCTGTACATCACAAGGGGCTGGTTGTTGGCACCTTTTGCAGCAGGTACAGATCTCTTAGGTCAGATTCAACAACAGCTTGAACACCATGAAAATGCTGTAGAAATAGAAAAGCTTATTAACATTTTTTAGAATAGCAGAAGAATATAGTGCTGCTCTGTGACAATAGATACAGCATGTTGAATGACGCTGTGGCATTGATTTATAATTGCAAATACAGGTTGCTTATAGGATCTTCAACTTCCTAGGTGAATACAAATAAAAATATCAGGTCAGTCTTCATCACATCTGCAGAAAATGTGGACCCAGGCATAAACTCAGTGCATGTTTCCATAGCAGTGGTGTGGCAATAGTCTTAGCAGCCCACTCAACTACTATGGGGCCCATTAGGGAGCTGTTGTGGACAGGTAAATATAGCAAATCTGTATGCATGTGACGATAACACATCTCCAGTACTGTATGATTAGGAATTGAAGATATTGCTGTTAACACTGACCTTTCCAATCAAGAAAAACAAATATTATTTCAAGGATAGTGAGGTGCACATTGTGGACAGAGGGGACAACTGGCTTGCAAGAAGCATGAAAGAGGTCCGCTACGTCCAAATTGAACAACCATCCCTGGACAGGGGTGGGTCTCTTCATCACCATCTTTCTTCCATATGAAATGAGATTTTAACATCTCTTAACCGGTGATTTGACAATTTACACCTTTAGCCACATAAATTGAGGAACTAAGACCTATGTAGACTTCCTAACACCAACAATGGGGTTACGTAAGTAAGACAGGTTAGCACCACAATCAGATCTCCCATCTGCACTTGGACCATCAACTTTTATACAATTAATAACTGGAATACGGGGTCCTAAGGTGTGAATGTAAATGCTGTGGTATCTTCCTGACACTCTTGGAACTGAAGAGGTGGCTTGGTAAGCTATGAAACTTCTTCAACATTAGAAAAAAAAGTCCAGTTGAGTGTGACTAATACTAGAAGTAGTATTCAAAAAGAGCTGACTTCAGATGCACAAGCAGACTTTTCAGGATCAACCTTGCTAGTCTCAGATGTCCCTTTGCAGGCTATGCCGTAGGGAGAATTTGAACAGCTTCTTAGCAGTGTAGATTTATTGCCCTCAGCAGTGGTGTATTCACTTTTTGAGCTGTCCTAGGCAGCACAAGAATTGGGCGCACCCCACCAGCACCCAACATCCACCCCCCCCCCCCCCCTCCTGTTACAACCTTTTCTGACACCTCCTGGTTGATTGCATATGTAGGAACATGTAGGTCATATAGAATAGTAGGGGAGAAGATACTGCCAATAGAAGCTAATGATTATAAGACTGGCATTCTGGGGAAGGTACACAGACGTTTGGTGACACAAACACAGGAATTCCCAGAATACATAACCTATAATTAGGTCACCACCACACTCCACCCTCCCCACCCAAAACCACCACATCAGATCTGTAGTAGCTCACTCCTATACTCACTCTGTTTCCCCCTCTTGTCAGCATGTTCTTTGTCAGAGCATGTTCAAGCAGTACAACTGATTGGCTTCTAATGCTAATCCACCCCCTCCCAGTCTGACTGTCGACAAAAAGTTAAATTCAGTTACTAACATGAATTGAAATTAAATATATATTTAATTATTTTTTAAAGAATACACAACTGCATTAGTGTGTGTTTTTTCATATTTGCCTGGCGTTTAGCTTAAAGCAGTTGTAAAGTCATTTTTTTAATTAAAATAATAAACATTTTATACGCACTAGCTCTGAGCAATAGTATTACACAGAGTGGCCCCGATTCTCCTCTTCTGGGTTCCCCGCTGGTGCTCTTCGCTCATCTTCTTCTGTGTGTGCCACCATAGGAAGCCATGTGTTATGTGGGCACACATGTGGGTGCTGTGTGCAAAGAAACAAACAGAGGGTGCACGGGCCTAGTGCATTACCTTCTAAAAATGAGATTTATTGAATAAAAAGTAGTATACTCACAAAAGAATAAAATCAAAGGCACATCACAAAAAAGACAGCATGGTCCAATCTCCCTAGATGGTTGCTGTTGGGGGACTGTAGGTCTCCAAATGGCTGACGCAGTAATGCACTAGGCCCAAGTGCCCTCTGTTTGATTCCTTGCACACAGCTTCTTTGGATTTCCCTGGTCCGTTTAGGGCAGCAAGGCTTGCATTCCCAAAACGTACTCCATGTGAGGTTACTGACATTGTGTAGCTCATCGTCCAGCACAGGAGTTTCAGCATTCATTTGCTGATGCTTTTTTATCACACATGTGGGAGCACCAGATATTAGCATGTAAACTAATAGACATAAAACGTACCTAATTCCAGCTACAACTCCAGCAGGCATGATTTTCCTTGATCGATTGTACCTCAGACCCATTATTACACTTAGAGAACCGGCAGCAACTATGGAAATAAAATACAGTAGAGGCAGAAATTAAATCATGCTATATACATCATCAAGTTAACCCCTTTGCGCTTAAGGGTAAAACAAATCTTAATGCCTAAGCACAATTTTGTACACTTTGACATGTGTTAGCAAAACCGTACATATCATCACAACTTGGGAATTCATTTGGTGGTAAATGGTAATGGATATCTCCTTTTTTTTTTTTTTTTTTTTATAATCAAAAAGAAACACAAATTTAGCTGTATATTTCTTGCTACTACCATAACTTACCACCAAAGAACCCAAAATAATTTCTCCTGCTCCTGAAGATCGCAGTGATACCACATACATGTATGTTAGTTGTAGTTTGTGCCCGTAGTACGGCCCAGAAACAATAGTGCGCATTTTGCTTTTTTATTCTGCCGCTAACTGATACTAATATAAAAATGAATCCTGACCAAAAAAATCCTGACCCTTGACCCTGACCTTTGATCCTGACATTGACCTTTGACCCTAACCTTGACCCAAACACTAACCCTGGAAGTGACCTAGATCAAACCTTGATCTAGGTATTTATTATTTATTTATTTTTACACACACTTTCTATTTTTTCTCTCGGAAAGGACAGAGAGAGATACAATGTTTCTCTCTCCTCCATTCAGAGATAGAAAACAAGGGGGGTGGTCTTCACAGTGGATGATCACTGTGATAGCCAATCAGAGGTTATCACAGTGATCAGGTGACCCAGAATCAGGCGTTCCAAGTCCCGATCGTTAGAACGGGACCCAGGGCTTTCAGTGAAACCCCAGTCTATGTACTGGGAGTGTACCGTGCGGCGCGCTCCCAACACCAACTCAAGTATGCAAATTAGTGGCCCAATGGGAAAAAGGCCCAGTCCAGTGTGGCCACATATTTGCATGCAGTTGGCATGAAGGGGTTAAAGTGTTTGTAAACCTCAGACATGAAATATGGACAAAGCATATCTCTCTGCAGTGTGTGCTTGTCTCATATCAAAGCACTAAGTGTAATTTCTGTCTGCTGCCTGGTTCCTCTGCTAAAAGCATGAATGACAAGTTTTCCTGCCATAAAAAGAAAAAAAAAAAAAGGTGACAGGGAGGGAGCTCCAGCACACAGCCTGTGATTGACAGCCTCAGTTCTGTTTCTGTGTGCTGCGTGAAGGGGGGTGGGTGTGTCTCTTCCCTCCAATCAGCTCTCAGAGCTCTCCTCACTGATGTAACTTCAGTTCTCCCCCCTGCTTTTCAGAGCTGAGAGATCCTGTTTAAATTCTGCACTTGAAATGGATGTAGTGGACAGGTGCTACAGATAAACAGATACAACTTATGTAGAAGGATTTTGTTTTATTTCAGTGTACCAACTGAGGCCAAGTCACTTCACTGGATATAGTTAATTGTTTACAACCACTTTAAAGTAAATCTGTTACTTTACCCATTAAGAATAAAAAGTAACAGTTTCTTTTTTGATAGTTCAATCACAAATATATATTGTCCAAACCTTCCTATACAGCAGGGTAACCTTCTAGTGCTCTGAGTCTAATTGTGTAAACTCCATGTTCTCCTGTGGTGGAGCTCACAAGGTTGATGACCTTCTTCCTCACAAGACAATATCCTAGTGACTGGCAGTGAAAACCTTTCTATTTAACTCAGCAAATGTTTCCTTTAAAAGGGGAATATCGGGTGTCTCCATGCCTATTCCAGCTCAGTGAGTCACAATATAATGATGGATGGGAAACATGCAACTTTAATTGTGTATTGGCTGCCCACATATTTCTATCTGACAAGTTCCTTTAAAGTGTATCTAAAGACAGAACTTTTTTATTTAGTTTTGGAAATAGTAGGGATGTTTTAAAAAGACCCCCCAGTGGTTTTGTTTCATTTTTGCTGTCTGTGTCTATTCAAGATTATTCCTTTCCATCCTTCAAGGGAGGGGATTCCCTCTTAGACAATTGTCACTGGAACAGTTGTGAAGCGAAAACAAACAAAGAGTGCACCAACCTTGCGCATTACCTCAGTAAGCCAAAATGTATTAATTACAGAATAATACTCACAAACACTGAAGTATATCATGCATGTAAGTCCTCAAAGGGACTAAGGATAAAAGCAGCCTGCACGAGTCCCATCAGAGGAGTGGACACTCAAGGAACAGCTGACGCATTTCGAAGGACGAACCTTCTTCATCAGAGCTTGACTGAACAATGAGTGATCACTCCTATATATACTCTAGATCCAAAAATAAATTTAAAGATAAAGGATATAATGAAAAAAACTGATTGAAACAGCCTTTAACAAATATTTACTCCTTTATGATCCTAACTCCTCAGATTACAATGATACGGCAGGCAACTAGCACATACTCCAAGAACCTTGCTGCTTCCAGCAATCTGGTAGAAGTATGCTTTTGTACTAGGTTTAACAACAAATCCTGGGATATTAAACATATTTTGTCCAAAAATTGGGATATCCTGAAAAGCGATCCCATGTTAGGAAACGCATTCCCAGACAAGCCCACACTTATCTTTAGGAAACCGAGAGACCTCAGGAGTATTATAGCACCAAGCAGATTACGTAAAACTACTAAGCAGTTCAAACCCAACCTGAGCCCTTGGTCTGTGATCTTTGGTCAAAAGGGGTGCTATAGATGTGGAGTCTCAAATTGTGGCACTTGTGAGGTTCTGTGGCATCGAAAACGGGACTTCAAGAGTACTAATGGCAAAAAATACCCAATAAAACAATTAATCAATTGTGGTACAGCCTTTGTTATATACGGCTTACTTTGTCCATGAGGCCTATTATATACAGGCCGCACTTCCCGGTGCCTTAGGACCCGTATTATCGAACACAAAAGCAACATCAAAATGGGTAAAGATAAATACTCAGTCCCACGCCATTTTAAAGAACCTCATTTGAGCAACTATAGTGGTATGAGAGAATTTGGAATTGAGGCCATCTCTAAAGATTTAGATAATGGAAGGAGACATCACTGTGTAGAAGAGAGAGTTTTTGGATCTTTTGGGCACCCTTACTCCAAAGGGCTAAACGATGATCTTGAAATACACACTCTCATTTAGCCCCCTTTTTTCTACAATAGGTGCAGACAATTTGCTTTGAGATTCCATTCTGGTTCCCTGTCAGTTTTTTAGCTAAAATACCATTGCTGTTATTACTGACACATCCAAAACTGGATTATAACCACACATGCACTCCAAATACTTGTGTGGTCCACATATGTATTTATATATAATTTTTTTATATATTTTTTTATATTATATTATTTGTATTTATTACACAGGAATTCAATCAACTATAGACTGTGTCTGGGTCTTTGAGTTTTATGTTAATATTAGTATACATTTTTATACATTTTATTTCTACATTTTTTATATATATATATATATATATATATATATATATTTTTTTTTTTATACATTTTTTTCTATACATTTGTAGGCTGAGCAATTTTTATTATCCATTATTCTGCCAATTTCATTCACCATTGCTGTCTTTATCTTCTACATCATTCCCCATCACTGAGTACAGTACTACATAAGAATAAAGTTCACCTATTCTGAGAGAAACAGTTGACACTTATCTCGTTGTCATAACATATGTGGTTACATGAGGGTGTGTGGGATTGCATACATACATACATGTAGGCATACCCACGCATATATACACACATTTATATGTATGTACAATCATTATATATTTTTTATATGTATATGCAATCATCTTATCCGATATTCCTGAGATCACAACCCATATCAGCTTTTCCTAAGGGTTGTTCTGCATTATTGATATATATTTAATTGATATATTCCTAATCCAAGTTTCATTTAATGTATAATCTATGTCTTTTACCAACATTAGGTTCATAGCATAATTTCTATTTTTCTCTCTCTTTCTCTTTCCTAACATCCCAGATCACCACTGCCCCCCTATTGACTATAGACGACAAGCAGTGTTATCAATAGCACTTAATCCTTTTTTACGTATCTTCTTGGATTCTTTCACTTCAGTTATTATTCATTTTTTATATATATATATATATATATATATATATATATATATATACACACACACCAGTATTCATATACATTTCACATGTTATTCAAATTTTCTAGGTGCCCCAAGACTATAACTTAGTCTATATGATTTGCACTACATATCATTCTCCCATCCCCCGTTTTCTTCATGCAAGGGGTTAAACATGAGATTTTCCTTGGGGCTGTCCACCATGCTGTATTGGCCTGCGTTCCATACACAGGAACTGCAAGCAGCCATATATGGTATTAAGCACGAGATCCCCCTCTGCTGCTGATTTATAACTATTACTTTCCTCTAACATCATGTTTGAGGTGATTGTTGCCGTATTAGTGCATTTGCGACAGAAACAATTGAGTACTGTCCGTGATACTTTTTTTATTTGCACTAACATACAATTTTGAGGACAAGCTTTGGGGGTATGTCCCCTTCTTCAAAGTCCAAGCAGTACTATCAATATATAGATAGTACTGCTTGGACTTTGAAGAAGGGGACATACCCCGAAAGCTTGTCCTCAAAATTGTACGTTAGTGCAAATAAAAAAAGGATCACGGACAGTACTCAATTGTTTTCTTTAACATCATGAAATACGACTTACATTCTGCTAGCCTGGTAATATAGAAACCTTTTACGCTTGACTAATCTTTGTATAATAGATAGATGGATCCATGTAATAACAATAGCACTACAATTATATTTATTTCTATACATACTGATTTACCATCTACCAAAGAATTAGTGATGAACTATTGATTAACTAATTTGCTATCACATCTTTATCACATCATATCAGTCATCCAGTTCACTTTCTTTCCAGAGATATGTTTCACAAAAGAACATAAGCTTTACTACATTTATTTACTATTTAATCATAATTAGCATCCTGATTTTATTTTGTATATTTAATATATATAATTTTAAACACTAACCCATGTATCTATACGGATATAAAAATATAGAGATAAAATATAGAGATATATATATCTACATTTTTAACAATTTGACTCGGTCATTGTTTACATCTGGGCATGTTTGTTTATTTATTTATATAGCATTTGTATCAAGGTTTTTAAACTTATATGGATCATGCTTTTAAATATTCTTATCATTTGTTATATGTAAAGTTTTATGCAATCATGATTGTTGTTTTATCAAGCTTTGAATTGTACTATTATGTCTTTTCTATCACTAGCACGTTTTACTGAGACATTTTTGGACACCTTAGTCCCTCCTCCCAATTGGAGATGGCCCATCCCAAACAGGGTGGACCCAATTTTAGTTCTAGAGTATATATAGGAGTGATCACTTATTGTTCAGTCAAGCTCTGATGAAGAAGGTTCGTCTTCAAAATGCGTCAGCTGTTCCCTGAGTGTCCACTCCTCTGATGGGACTCGCGCAGGCTGCTTTTATCCTTAGTCCCTTTGAGGACTTACATGCATGATATACTTCAGTGTTTGTGAGTATTATTCTGTAATTAATAAATTTTGGCTTACTGAGGTAATGCGCAAAGTTCGTGCGCTCTTTGTTTGTTTTCGCTTCACAGTATTGGTCGGGCTTCCCCAGCCTTGTTTGGAGCTGCACAACCCCATATGCACTGGTGGTAGAAACTTCCAAGTCCTGACTCCATCTACCTACCCCATGTAGGGTCATAGAGCGCAAGAGAGTTTGTTTTCTTTCTATTGTACTGGAACAGTTGTCCCAATCAAAAGGATCTCTTCAACTCTTGTCCCTGTGACCGCTTTAAAATTTGGGATTGATGATTATTTCTTTTTCCCTGAACAGTTGTCCCCAGAACAAATAGAGGGGAAGTGTCTCCCCAGTGGAGACAGAGGCAATAAAACCAGACAGGGGTTTTAAAGAATAGGTTGACCTTTAAAAGTAATATTAAATGCACATCTTTTTGCACTTATTATTTTTTTATTAGGAGCCTGTAAAGCATTGCACCCATGATCAGCAATGCAAGGCTCCTGCAGACTATCAGCATAAACTGTCCGTTCGTACCTCCTCCCCAGCACTCTGGTAGTTCACTGAAAACTACAAGCCATCAGCCCGCAAAGACTAGAAGGCAGTTGCAGCTTTCCTATTCACAGAACTCTGAACGAATGATGAAGCCGGGTGGGCGGAGCCACACATGGTTGCGTTTTTTTTTTTTCAAAATTGTGACAGTGGGTGCCGAGAGAAGATCCTTGGCTCTAGTAGTTCATTGAAAACTAGAAAACATCAGTCGCAAAGGATAGAACGTAGTTATAGTTTTCCTATTCACAGAACTCCGAATGAATGATGAGGCCAGGTGGGCGGAGCCACACATGGTTGCATTTGTTTTCAAAGTTGTGACAGTGGGTGAGGAGAGATGATCCCTGGCTCTGGTAGTTCATTGTGAAAACAAAAACCATCAGCCGCAAAGGCTAGAAGGCAGTTGCAGCTTTCCTATTCACAGAACTCTGAACGAATGATGAAGCCGGGTGGGCGGAGCCACACATGGTTGCGTTTTTTTTTTCAAAATTGTGACAGTGGGTGAGGAGAGATGATCCCTGGCTCTGGTAGTTCATTGTGAAAACTAAAAACCATCAGCCGCAAAGCCTAGAACGTAGTTGTAGTCTTCCTATTCACAGAACTCTGAATGAATGATGAGGCCAGGTGGGCGGAGCCACACATGGTTGCATTTTTTTCAAAACTGTGATAGTGGGTGAGGAGCAGGGGCAGACTGACCATTTGGAAACTCGGGCACTGCCCGAGGGCCCGGGGTCAGTAGGGGGCCCCATGAGATGCCCCTGGTACCTTTTTTATAGGCTTTTTTGAGTTTGGGCAAGGACACAGGGGCCCCATGATCCCCTATTGCCCGGGTCCCCATGAGTTGTCAGTCCGCCCCTGGTGAGGAGAGATGATCCCTGGCTTGTTGTCACTAGCGGTAGCAGATCAGGGAGAGGCTGCAACAAGTTCCATGTTCTACCCTAAAAACTGGTGGAACATGTAACATGTTCCAAAGTTGAACTTGTCCTTCAACACTTGTCCAATGCATCTCAAACCAGACAAAGGGGTTTATATATACTTGAAAGTAGCATACAATCTCTAGGTAGTTGCCTCTAAATAAAATGTGAGGGTTTTCAATCTTATTTATTATGCTGGCACCTTTATTGGTACCCACAGATTATATATCATAACTGTAAAATTTGGTATAGTTGATCCCACATATTTACAGCAGACGGAAAAAACAAGACAATTGTAAATATCGGATTCCATCAATGAGTTAAACTCCCAGGGCAGATTCATACCAGTATAATGCAATGCAAAACAATTGTTTCCTTTGTGCTCTTGTATTGAGTCTGCATTGCTCAATGCTGATCAATGAAGTTCAATGCACCTGGTGTGAATAGGCAGTGGATCCAACCGTTAGTTATAATTACAAGAAGCTATATTTATAAAGTATGTGGGTTTTTTTGCATTATACACTATCTAGCTTACTAATAACAGCAGCACAAAAATCGATGATGACAAACTTCAAAAAACACAGAGAACAATAACTGAACCACTTCAATTTTTTATACTGTACATACTTACTGTATATTCTTACATATAAAAACCAAGGTCCACAAATACAGTACAAAACACTGATCTCTTTACATATATCCCAGCCTAAACATTCCTCCTTAACATATATAACTTATTTCACTTACTCAGTGATATCTTGATATCCCTTGGATTGAATGAAACACGCATTGCGCCATAGGCAGCAAGCAAACCAAACATGAGACCAGCTGCCAAAGATACAATACTACCTGGAATGGAAAGAGAAACATATGAAAATGAATCTACAGTGATCCTATGTAACCTATAAACATGCAAAGTCTGCGCATACCATTAGATTAAGTGGCCAAAAAAGAGACAACTTATTGAACAAAGGATGGACCAGAGATACAGGTTGGGTACACACAAAAATGTCGAAAGCTGTAGGTTCTAAGGGCTCATGTACACTGCAGCTGATAAACTCACATTTAGGAGCTGTTCAGCATTTTTTTTTCAGCAGCCCCTGGACTCTCCCTAATGTTTTCCTATGTGTCCATGTACACATCTTCGTTTACAGTTGTTTACAGGCATTTGAGTTTACAGTGGTTTCTTTGAATGCAGAAAACTTGCGTTCAGCAGTAGATTTTATCAGCGTTTCAAATGCAAAACGCTTGTAAATGCGTGTAAACGTGGCTAAACACGGCTAACTGCGTTTATAGGCGTTTGCGGTTTAAAATTTTTTTTAACTCTTCCATTTCCAGATGCTGTCCAGAGCCTTTTTTCATCATGAAAAATGCATACAAAGCGTTTTCCCGGTACTCAAATGGACCTAGCACACCATCCTTTGAGGCTTTGCATGAAAAAAAAATTTTTTGACACCGCCGCAATAATTTCTGCACAGAAATTAGCTGGAACACATCAAAACACCACAAAAAAAAAGACAACTAATCTCAACAAATACTGCTCTCTCTGCTTCTGCTCTCTCTATTTCTCTCAAAATGTCTGAAATAGTAAATTTTTTACTGTTTTTCAGTGCATTCTGGGCATTTTGGAAGGTCTCCTGGGGTTATTTTTAAATAACGCTTCTAAACACAAACGTGGTATGCAAACGCGGCTAAACAGACATTTTTTAACCTTCGTTTCCAGCAGTCAGTTTCCATCATTCAGAAGTGTCCCATGTACATGGGGACTAAAGGTTGCTTTGCTGGACAGATGTTAGTAGTACAGACACTCCTCGCTTAACGACCTACCTGTTTAGCGACCGCTCGCACTTACGACCATCTCTTCACCGTTACGACCGCTCACACTTACGACCATCTCACCGACGGTACGTGCTAAAACGTGGTTACGCGCTAAACGTGGTAGCGGCCCTGCGTCTCAAAGTCATTCATCATTCATGGCTGAAATTGTACACTATTCTGAGGTCCGGTACTGCTGGTTTCCTGGTCAGTATTCACATTTCAGCAGTACTGTAAATTACTGTATTTTTTTGCGATGCAAAGAAAAAAACTTTATAAACAGCTATACTGTACTGTACTGTATACAGTCCAGGATCTCTCTCAGGCCCACACAGTACAGCACAGTAGTATGACAATACTGTATACAGTACAGATATAGTACATTACAGTATGTACAGTACAGTGTAACTATTTATAAAGCTTTTTCTTCAAGCATACAAGTTGTGTGTGATCTGGGTGCCTTATTCTGTATTGTACTTTACCCCAGATGTCTCCAAAAAGGAAAAGCAAGGTTGCACCAGAAAATGCCAAGAAACAAAGGAAGGCTATTGATCTTGAGAAGAAAATGAAGATCATAAAGGATTATGAAGGTGGCAAAAAAGTCCATGAGATAGCACATGACTTGCAGCTGGCACATTCAAAGAGGCAGTGAAAGCATCAACAGGCTTTAAAGCCATAATAACTAGACAGCGGAAAGGCCTAATTCATGATATGGAGAAGTTACTGGCTATCTGGTTTGATGACCAGATTCAAAAAAGAATGCCATTGAACCTTTCAATAATTCAAGCCAAGGCACTCAATATCTTTGAGACTTTGCAAGCATGCAGCGGTTCAACCGAAACCTTTACAGCAAGTAACGGATGGTTTCAACGGTTTTCTCAAAGATTCAACCTGCATAATCGGAGTGTCAGTGGTGAGGCAGCAAGTGCAGATGTAGAAGCAGCAGAAAAATTTGTTGACCAATTTGATAAAATCATAGAGCAAGGTGGCTACTGTCCAGAACAGATCTTCAATGTGGATGAAACTGGACTTTTTTTGGAAGAAAATGCCTGAAAGATCCTATATACACAAAGAAGCTAAGACAATGCCTGGCTTTAAGGCATTTAAGGACAGGGTCACATTGTTGTTGGGAGGAAATGTTACCGGGTTTAAGTTGAAGCCTTTGCTTATCTATCGCTCTGAAAACCCACGTGCATTGAACAGAGTTAGAAAGAACACACTGCCTGTTTACTACCGAGCAAATAACAAGGCATGGATGACTCAAGCTTTATTTGAGGATTGGTTCATCCACTGCTTCATACCCTCAGTGAAGCATTATTGTCAAGAAGAGGGCATTCCTTTTAAAATTATCCTCCTGCTTGATAATGCTCCAGGCCATCCCCAGTATCTTGATGACCTAAACCCAGATGTAAAGATACTATATCTACCTAAAAACACAACTTCAATCCTTCAGCCAATGGACCAGGGGGCCATAGCCACATTTAAAGCATACTATTTACGCACAACTTTTTCCAAAGCTGTCGCAGCAACAGAAAATGATGAAGTAACTCTCCGTGATTTCTGGAGATCTTACAACATTTTAGACTGCATAAACAACATTGAATCCGCTTGGAAGGGAGTGACAGAAAAGTGTATGCAAGGCATATGGAAAAAATGCCTAAAATGTTTTGTGAACAATGTTGCAGTTTTTGAGAAAGATGAACATGTTGATGCCATAAATAAAACAACTATGGAACTTGCTAAAGTGCTTAATTTAGAAGTTGAGGTGGAAGATATTGAGGAATTAGTGCAATACAGGGAGGGAGAGCTAACTACCGAAGATTTAATAGAGTTGGAAGCACAGCAGAACCTGGCGGAGGAGGAAGAAGAAAATGAAAACATGGAAGAAGTACCAAAGAAGTTTACTGTGAAGGGATTAGCTGGTGTGTTCTCAAAAGTGAATGCAGCTATGTTCCAACTAGAGAGTATGGATCCGAATGTTGAACGATTCACAAAGGTGGAAAGACAAATAAGTCAAGTTTTACAGTGCTATCGTGAAATATATGAAGAAAAAAAGAAAATGACAAAGCAGACCACTCTAAGTGGATACTTTTGGAAAGTTACACCAAGCACTACCAATGCTTCAATTTTTACTCCATCGTGTCCCTTACCTGGGCCTTCAGCAGCTCCTGATATTAGCTCTGATGATGACACAGATGAAGATTTTGAAGGATTCGTTTACTAAAATGATAGCCTGAATTTATTTTTTTTTGTTTGTTTGTTTTGGTTTTTTTGTTTACTGTATTTTAAATATCCTTTTTCCTTCTTGTACACTCTACAGTACAGTACTGTGGTTTTTGGTGCTTTAATGTACCTACTGTACTTTGCTAACTTTTTATGTAATACATTCCAGTACTGTGTGTAAATTACACAACTATTAAGACAAGTGAAGTTTTCAGTTTGATCTTTCTTGTTATTTTACTTATCAGAATACATTGTCAAATACATTCATATACTGTATTGTACTGTGTGTACATTGCAGTATTAAACACAACCTATGCAAATTAAAACAAGTGGAAGTTTTCAGTTTGATCTTTCTTGTTATTTTACTTATTCAGAATACTGTATTGTCAAATACTATGCATATATTGTACTACTGTATACAGTACATGCAGTTCCTCACTTAACGACCAATTCGCTTAACGACCAAGTCGTTGAAACGGAACTCGGTCGTTAAGCGAGGAGTACCTGTATATATCTGGGCATGACACAGGTACACTTTGAAGTAAACATAGCAAACCTGGGCAATTTCAGCTAATGATCAGGCTTTACTAGCAGATATGCAGAAAAAAAAACCTGCAAATTGGGGTATGGGTGCAATGGGGGAGATTCACTAAAACCGGAACGTGTAAAATCTGGTGCAGCTCTGCAGAGAAATCAATCCTCTTCCAGGTTTTATTGCCAAAGCTTAATTGAACAAGCAGAAGTTAGAAGCTGATTGGCTACCATACACAGCTGCACCAGACTCTGAGTACTTCAGTTTTAGTAAATCTCTCCCATTACAGCTAATTATGCACCTTATATTTTGATCTCAATGGTGTGGTTCTGTGGTGCCACCATACCTTCGCCCACCTTGTTTGTGTCTCAGTGCCCATTGTATTTGTAAAAACTTTTTTGAAAACCCATTTATCATTTTCTTTCCACTCCACAATTATGTGTCACTTTGTGTTGGTCTATCTCATAAAATCCCAATAAAATACATTTTACGTTTTTGGTTGTAACTGACAAAATTTGGAAAATTTCAAGGGGTATGAATACTTTTTCAAGGCACTATATGTCAACCACATTTACAGACTGGAGCTGTGGACCATATGAATAATTGTATCATTACAATAATTTGTCTTGCAAATGTTGTTAATGCTTTTCTTTGTTTAGATACCACTGCAATCTTCCCTTATGAGTCCTGAAGAAGCAAAATGAGAACGCATTGACCCATTAGGACTTATCTCCACAGACTATTTTATTTTAAGGAACATGAATGCAAAGTATAATAGGAGGACAATTAGGAATGAATATGTTACTGTGAGAGAAGTCACAGTTGGTATTCATTTATCATTGCATATAGGCTATGTGTTTATGTCCTATGGGTAGTTATGTGATTTTATTGTGAATCTGTAATAATAAAATTTGTATTTGATTTTATATATACCTATGTGTGTCCCACTTGTGTGTCAGTAATCATCAGCTAGAATTGCCCAAGTTTAGTATTTTTACTTTAAAGTGTACCTGTGTCATGTGCAGACCTATAACACTAACATCTGTCCAGCAAGCCAACCTTTAGAACCTATAGCTTTCAACATCTTTATTTTTGTGTGCACCCAACCTGTATCCACTTTTTTGATTTGCTGTATGTGATCTTATACATACATGTGTGTCCAGCTTGTATGCCAGTAAAGTCCAATCATTTTCTTTTGGTACAAGTTTGGTAGTATTGCAGATGTGGCATTACATTATATTATAGGCAGGAGGAGCCTGCCGCGCTGATGTCACTGACCACCGAGGCCGCATGTTAGGCCGGCGGCCACCTTAGCTACCTCTGTCCAATTATTATCTTGATGCTTTGGAAACCATTATATTGGAATATTATTACTGCTGTGCACTTTATACCTTGTTATACCTTTGGCTCAATAAATATACTACACCATATCAGCAATTCTTGTTTGGGGGCTGAATTTTTGAGCCATTCAAGGTGGATACTTACCGTTCCTGATACTCTGGATACCTGCTGTAAGTGAAGCATAAGAGCAGTCCCTGTATGCTGTGAGGTTCCTAGCTGAGAGCTCTGGAGTTCATACCTGTTTGCACGGTGTACCAGTGGAGCCCCTTATTCCTACCAGTTCCTTGATAACCACCAGTGCCTTTCTGGATATTATAACACATGCGCATTAATATTGTGTGTCCGGTGAGTGCAATCATACCTCATTTTCCTTACCACGGAAGTCAAGAGCACCTTATTTCCATGCATCACTTGTGAGGACAACCCATATCCCAAGTCACTGGATTATTATTGCATTACTTGCTATTGGCTTTATTATTATAGTCTATTGGACTTTTCATTACGTTTATATGTCACTTTATTTGTCAAAACTTTGATGACACATTATTGTCACTTTTTAGCGTTCCATTTGGAGCTTGATCATATCACCAGTCACTTTGATATATACGATTATTTATCATTATTTTAGCGCTGCCTTTTACATTGACGTTTTTAGGACTTAGGGGTTTATCCTTATGCTAGCTGCTTTAATTACATGAAGCACTCACATATTATATTTAGTATTGTTCAGATGTGGCATTATAGTTGTCTAAGTACTGTATCATAACCAGCTTGCCATATGATGAAAATAAATCCATAAGCAGATGTTACCTATAGTGAAAACTGCATTTCTAAATAACCTATAGATCCAGAGATGTATGTGGCTGATTTTTGTGAATTTCAGTTTTTCCATTGAGGACTGAAACAGACTTTGAAGCTTGTGTGCATCAGCACTCTGGAATGCTCTTCCTTTTAAATGGATCTTCAGTAAACTAGGGCAATGCAGCTCACCTGTCTGCACTGTAAAAAAAAATATGCATGGCTGTTCTTATGAGTAAATCAAAGAGTCAAGCGCAAGAAAAATCCACCATACGAGATCACTACTCACTGCCGCTGTATGAGCACTAAAAATAGTGAAGCATTAGGTCCAAGAAAAACAGTGCTGTAAGGGTATGGTAAATAATGTTTACCTCCCAAGACGGTATACCTTTGATTGGAGTAATATATCATGATAAGTAACATCAAAGAGTATGGTAGCCAGGACAAGGCAGAAGAACCGTCCACTCCTCAGGGAACACAAGCCTGGAGAGAACTCTGTTGTAGTGAGCGGCTTGGACCCACCGGGGATCGCGGCAATCCAGAAGTGACGTCACCACGACCATGGAGGGGGCGGAAGCCGTATCCTGGCCTTAGAACACAAGCCGAGCTGGTAACCGTGACAAAGCATTTTGTGCGCATGTGTTTTATTAAATCTCGATTATCAAGAGACTTGATAAAGTGCTTGCGCAAGAAACATGTTGTCACGGTTACCAGCTCGGCTTGTGTTCCAAGGCCAGGATTCGACTTCGGCCCTCTCCATGGTTGCAGCAACGTCACTTCCTGATCGCTTTGATGCCCGGCGGGTTCAGCCACTCACTACAACGGAGTTCTCTCCAGGCTTGTGTTCCCTGAGGAGTGGACGGTTCCACTGCTTTGTCCTGGCTACCATACTCTTTGATGTTACTTATCATGATATATTACTCTAATTAAAGGTATACTTCCTTACAACGCTGTTTCTCTTGGACCTAATGGCTGTTCTTATGTGTTAGCAGACCATTCATACTTAATGGGCTGCTTTAATGAAATGACCATTAATTCATGACATATGCCCATTCATATGTGTGCATTAACCAAATGCACAAGAACAGCAGTGTGAATAGTTCCTAAAATGATAGCTTAGTCTTGAACCCTGTCATTGGTCATCCAAGTTGCCCAACACATTTAAGGGCTAATAGGGAGGTACATGAGTCTGAAAGAGACAGTGCTTATTTTTTTACAGGAAAACTCAAGATTTGTGGCAGCAGTGGCTAAATAGTTAGCACTTCCACCTAGAAGCAGAGTAGTTGGTTCAAATCCCAACCATGACACTACCTGCCTGGAGTTTGCATGTTCTCCCTGAGCCTTTGTGGGTTTCCTCACACACTCCAAAGACATGCTGGTAGGTATCTGAATCCTGTCTAATTTGTCCCTAATATATGTATGAATGTGAGTTAAGGATCTTAAATTGTATGCTCCTTGAGGGCAGGGACTAATGTGAATGTAAATTTATATATATATAAGATAAAGCTCTGTATAAATTGATGACGCTAAATGAGTACCTGTAATAAATAAACAATACAATTTGTATATATTTCAGATACCCATAGCTCTGGATCTATTGATCACGCTGACATGACTTTACAAGCAAAGTTCTGGTGCAGAGGGAGCAGATGCCACTCGGAACCATCCCCTGGAGTCAAGCGTGTTAAGTATGTGTGAAGTGGCCTCAGAACCGCACTAGCCACGCCCTCTGACACATTTTTCCCCGCCCTTCTGGGCTTGGTCACAAAGACCTCTCAAAGTGCTGAGGCTACTTCACACATACTTAACACGCTTGACTCCAGGGGTTGGTTCCCAGTGGGGTCCGCTCCCCCTCACCTCACTGAAGATACCGGAAAAAACCTAGGATGCTGCTCCCTTCATTCCTCTGCCAGTGGAGCAATTCCTCTATTTCAATCTGGCTTCAGAGCGGCACCACTAAGCCTCACAAACAGTCTACAAAGTTCTGGTGCAGTCATGTTTCACATCCCTTCCCTTACAAGTGCTGCAATCTTAGCTAGGCAGATTAGAAATGCAAGTTATTCTCTCTAGAGCAGGGAAAAAAAAAAAACTGCTTGATACATCAATATCTAAGAAGAGAAGCCAGCCACATGTTCCCCTACACTTACACATCCTAGGTATGCCAGAATGTATATCAACCTATCTAACATAATGTACAAGATGTTACATTTTAATATTACCTGACAGTGTTTAAAATAATGGTAAATTACCTTTGCATACCTAGCTAAAAGATTAGGGCAACAAAATGGATAGTGGCAATCAAGATGAAATTTAGAGCTTACCTTTCCGAGAAAACCCCATAAAGCCACCAAAGGCCAAGAGTGCAGCGTATCCAAAACCAAGCCAGTCCACAGCCATGATTCTGAAAATATTCACAGAGTTAGCTATAACTATTATTAAAACATTGACATATATTGTAGTAGTCTACATTTTGATATTTATTTACAGAAAGAATTCCCAAAAATCTGCAATGCAAACTATTACTAGCTGAAAAGAGAGCACTGGACTAATAACCCTCAGGCTCCATGCACACTTGCTTTATTTAAGCTCAAAAAATGCTTGGAAAAAATTTGGTAATAGTGGTTTTAGTAGCAGTTAGAAACATTAGCATTTTATTAGCATCTTTAGAGTATAAAAAAGCTAGAAAAAAAAGCTGTTAAGAGTGTTTAGTGTTTTTTTTTCTGCTGGAAAAATTCTCAAAAAAAACTCTACAACGACAATTTTTTTTCTGCTCCTAGATGCTAAAGCCCCAAAAAACCCTAAAGTAGTGCGCATGGATGCATAGGATAACACTAATTAGCTTCTAAGAGCAGAAAAAAATGCTAGCGTGCATGGAGCCTTGAGGAACTGTCCATATAGTAGAGCTGCAATTAATGATTATTTTCACAATCAATGAGTTGGCCAATTATTGTTTCGATTAATCAGACAAAAACCTCAAAAATAGTGTGGTATACAAATTAATTAATAGGTAATGTTTAGGGTTATAGCCGGTATCGGTGCTGATACTAAGCATTTGCTGAGTATTGTGCAATTGCTCCAATACTTGAAACCGATACCTTCATGCTCAGGGATTCCCTCATTGACAGCTGAAATGTAAACAAAAAAAAGCCTACAAAAACAAAAAAAAGAGCCAGCATTTACCGGTTGTTAAGGAGCGGGGCTACCACGTCCTTAGCAACCGATGACTCATTCAGCTGTCATCGGGGTTCCCCTGCTGACAGCTGAAGTGCAAACAAAAGAAACATCCAGCAATTGGAGCGGTCATAAAAAAAATGCAGCCTGAAAATGTTTATTAACAATAACACAGAAAGCTAAAAAGAAACATTGTTTCATTTTGTATCTTTCTGTTTATTCATCTACAGATCAAAGGGATGTACTTCCATCTGCAGATGAAGTCAGTTAAAAGCAACCTGTCAAATAAAAAAACTTTGTTTTTCAGTTGCTTTGGTGTTAATGAAATTAACAACAGGTGCACTAGATGGGCAACAATGAGATGACCTCAAAAACAGAAATAGTTTTACAGGTGGAGGCCACTGACATTTTTTTACCTATTCATCTTTTCTGAATGTTTTTCACTAATTTTGCATTTGGCTAGGGTCAGTGTCACTACTGGTAGCATGAGGCGATACCTAGACCTTACATAGGTTGCACAGGCAGTCCAACTCCTCCAAGATGGCACATCAATACGTGCCATTGCCAGAAGGTTTGCTGTGTCTCCCAGCACAGTCTCAAGAGCATGGAGGAGATTCCAGGAGACAGGCAATTACCCTAAGAGAGCTGGACAGGGCCGTAGAAGGTTCTTAACCCATCAGGAGGAACAGTATCTGCTTCTTTGTGCAAGGAGGAACAGGATGAGCACTGGCAGAGCTCTACAAAATTACCTCCAGCAGGCCACTTGTGTGAAAATCTCTGATGAAACAATCAGAAACAGACTTCATGAGAGTGGCCTGAGGGCCCAACATCCTCTAGTGGACTCTGCACCATAGAGCTCAATTGGCATTTGCCACTGAACACCAGAATTGGCAGGTCCGCCACTGGCGCCCTGTGCTTTTCACAGATGAGAGCAGGTTCACCCTTAGCACATGTGACAGACGAGAAAGGGCCTGGAGAAGCCATGGAGAATGTCATGCTGCCTGTAACATCGTTCAGCATGACCGTTTTGGTGGTGGATCAGTGATGGTCTGGGGAGGCATATCCATGGAGGGACACATGCGCCTCTACAGGCTATACAATTTCACCCTGACTGCCATTAGGTATTGGTATAAAATCCTTGTCAGATCCTACACTAATGCAGGGGGTCCTGGGTTCCTCCTGGTGCATGACAATGTCTGGCCTAATGTGGCGAGAGTATGCATGCAGTTCCTGGAGGATGAAGGAATTGATACCACTGAATGGCCCTCACTCTCTCCTGTCCTAAATCTAATATAACACCTCTGGGATATCATGTTTCGATCCATCCGACGTCGCCAGGTTGCACATCAGACTGTCCAGGACCTCAGTGATGCCCTAGTTCAGATCTGGGAGGAAATACCCCAGGACACCATCCGTCGTCTCATTAGGAGCATGCTCGGACGCTGTCAGGCATGAATACAAACATGTGGGGGCCATACAAACTACTGAGTACCATTCTTAGTTGCTGCAATTACATTTCAGCAAAATGGTCTAGCCTGCTGCATCATTTTTTCATTTTGATTTTCTGGGTGTCTTTGAATTCAGTCCTCCTGTAGGTTGATCGTTTTCATTTCCATTAAACGATGGGGCATCCTTAGGTTCCTAACAAATTACCCAGACCATATCAGTATAGATAACCAGCATTTTATTGTTCCCCATTGAGATCTAATGTGTTTTCAATGTTTTCCTTTATTTTTGTTTGAGCAGTGTATTTACATGTTTCACATTGAAAAAAACCGCAAAAATTGGAAAAAATTTATTTAATTTGTAAATAACTTTTCAATGCTTTGTACCAGAATCATAGTGCTAAAATAAAACAGAAGGACTGGTGGTACTCCCTTATCCACAGCCCTACTCCTGGGTAACAATCCTTCCCCAGCCCAGACCAGCTCTGTGATGTCAGCCATCAGCGGACTTTAACCTGCTGTCACAGGAGTGCAGAACTAACTGCACTCCTGTCATCCACAGGCAGGGACGTGGATAAGGGGGTACCACCACCCCTCCTGTAGGGGGCCCAGGCCAACATAGGGGCCCAGGCAGCTGGGTGAATCAGATGTGGGCAGGGAGGGTGATCAGCATGGTGGGGGGCAATTACTGGAACCGATTCCCTGTATGGCTCTCTGCAGCAGCTGAAAGCTGGCTTCGTCTCCTATCCCTCCCACTGGCTTTCAGCTACTGCACATAGAGCCATACGGGGATTAGATCCAGCAATTGCTTCTTGTGGCATATTATGTCACATATACCAGCCCCTCCCTTTCCTGAAGGAACACAATGAGTGATCGGTACCAATCACTCACTGTGTTCTTTCATAACTGAAGCGTAGTAAACTGTTTTTATTATTTGGGGGGGCTGGGGCTGTCAGGTTGGCTGTGTGGGGCCCTGTGGTTTCTAACAGCAGCCCTGTCCACAGGAGAAGTATGGCTGCATTTCTCTTTTAAGTAAGCTTATTATAATACAAGAAGAAAAGATCCTTTACAGAGTGACACTTTGCACATCATTTCAGTTCCCTTTAGCCAGAATTAGAGCACTTTAAACATCCTTACTGAACACGCTGCAGGGTGAAGTGTAACTGCAAGGGACACAAACCCCACCCTATGGACAGGGAGGGTTATCGGCATGGGGGGGGGGGGGGGGCAATTACTGGAACCGATCCCCTGTATGGCTCTCTTTGCAGCAGCTGTAAGCTGGCTTCTTCTCCTCTCCTTCCCACTGGCTTTCAGCTGCTGCAGAGAGAGCCATACAGGGGATCAGGTCCAGTAATTGCTTCTTGTCGCACCCATCACTCACCCTGTGCACCATACATTTCCCCCTGCTGCCAAGGCCCCTCTGCGTGCCTCACCCCCACAGTGCTGCCGGCTTCCCTCCTCTCCTTTCCACTGGCAGCTGCAATAGGATGGAGAGTGGGGGAAGGGTTTGGCATATATGTCACATTTACCAGCCCCCTTTCGTGAATGAACAGAATGAGTGATCGGTACCAATCACACACTGTTCATTCAAAACTGAAGCATATTAAACTGTTTATTATTGGGGGGGGCTTTTAGGTTGGCTGTGTGGGGCCCTGTGGTTTCTAACAGTGGTTTCTGTGTGGGGCCCTGTGGTTTCCATTGGAGAAGTACGGCCAAATGAGCTTTGGCTGTACTTCTCCTTTAAGTAGGCTTATTATAATACAAGAAGAAAAGACACTTTGCACATCATTTCTGTTCCCTTTAGCCAGAATTAGAGCACTTTACATGTCCTTACAGAAAAAGCTGCAAGGTGAAGTGTAACTGCAAGGGACACAAAGGGTGTTACTGTCACCACCCCACCCTATGAGCCAAGCCAAGCCGAGCGGCTACTCCCTTCTGTTCCCCAGATGTGTGCATTCTGCTCAGTAGGAGCTCTGTTTTTCCTAGAATGAAACAAATCAGATTTGGAATAGGTCAGCCCAATGCTGCTGTCTGTGAGTCTCCTGTTCACATGTGCAGCACATGTCATTCTCTTCCATCTGAAGTCTTCCTGTGATCATGCCCCCAGGAGACAGGCAGCTGACACTTGAGGGAAGCTAGTTGTACAGAGATCCTGAACAGCCACCCCAAAGTCTGACCTCTGCCAGCTAGGCACAACCCTGCTGTAAGTCATGCTACCTCCTTCCTATTAACAATCACAGATCATTAATCCACCCGATTGAAGAATTAAAAACTGCACTCAGAGCTCATGCCTACCTCTGTCTGGTCCCCGCCTCCAACTTCCAACCTTTCAACTATGGCATTCAATGAGAAAAGTTTTTCCACTTCCTCCTTGGTGTGCAGGACGTTCTACTCTAGTTTTCTAGGCGCTCTGTTCACCCTCTGCCTGCTACTGCCATCTACTGACTGTATCTGGGACGACAAGAGATTCTTTAACGTTCTGTACCCTCTACTGGAATGTTCAAGTAGGCATTTGCAAAACCTGCCTTTTACTGCCACCTAGTGGCTATAGATAGTATTGCAGAAAGACGTGCGTTCCTAACAACTACCTTATGGGGTTGATTTACTAAAGGCAATTAGACTGTGTCCTTTCCAAAGTGCCATTGTGCTCTGCAAGTGAAGTTGCTCCAGAGCTTGGTAAATGAGCAGAAGCTCTGCTGACTTCCATCATCCAATCATGTGCAAGCAAAAATGCTGTTTTTAAAAATTTTCCTTGCATGTGATTGAGTATTCTTGACAAAG